TTTCTCCCCACACCGTGGCTCTGCCGCTGGTGGTGGGAGAGAGCACTAAGCTTAGCACCCATTTGCTATTTTTAAAGGGCTATATAAACAAACAGGGCTATGTAAATAAGAAAAAAATGAGGTCATCCTTTTAAAATCTAAAAATGTTCTCTTTCTATGGGGTGAGCAGCAAAACCTCAGAAAGAACTGGTGCTTTTTTATCCCCCAGAGGCCTTCTCCAGCCCACAGCCTCCGAGGCCACCAGGTCTGCCCCTCCCTTCCTTGCACCCGCCAAGGGAAGGCAGGCAGCCTGGGAGCCGGGACTCCTGGGTTTTATTCCTGGCTCTGTGGGCTTTGCGTCGAATGCCCAAAGCCACTGCCCAACCCCAGCCACCACACCCCTGGGGCTCTGACATCCATCCCCATCCAGGTCACTCACAGGCACTGCCCATGCTCATGTGCCCTCCTCCGGCACAAAAGTGCTGACCAGCTGACCCTCTCCTCTCTCCTCTGCCTCCTCTCCCGCCTCAATCGGCTGAGTGGACTCAAAGGCCCTTTGCATCCTGATTAGAAGCAACTCGTGTGCTCCCTCCACACGTCCTCCCCAACTTCTCTGCACATATTTTAATCACTCCCCATGTTTTTCTGGACCTCTTCTCCCACGCTGATGGCTGGAAGTCACTCCAGCAGCCCCAGAGAGCTGTGTGTAGTCCCTAATGATCCACAGGAGGCACTTCAAGCTTCCACAGGACCTCACGATGCTTCTCTGTGTTTCCCAAGTACTTTCTCCACTACCGACGCCCTCCCCACCTGTGACCCCCTCCGCCATCAACAGCATCACCTCATGTCTCTCTTCTGCCATCTTCCACTCCTTCCTCCTCTGCCTCCCAACCCCAACTCACAGCATCCTTGGCTTCTCTGTTATCCTTCAGCACAGAAATGAGAATCACCAATATTTGCCAAAGGGGCAGTTTTCAAATTGTATTCCATGGAGGTGTTTCAGAGGTTCTTCAAATGTGAAGTGAGAATTTTATTCTAAAAATATTGTTTAACTCCTATTGAAACTGTTATAGAAAAGGGACCGGCACATGCCAACATGTTCTATGGCACATTGTAACACACTGAGTACCGCCAACGGGTGTGGCCAGCTTAACTTGGTCCATGCAGACCATATCAGACCATAGCCTTGATAGATCTTGGACTTCAGTATTGAAACATGTCTAGAAAGACGAAGCTCTTTACTGGGCATCTTTACATTGTTTAAATTTGGGACTACATACACTTATTCAAAACCACACAAACAGGTAGATTCTAAAGCTTGCATGATATGAGAACGCGTGACGTGGGCTATCATGAAGATGTCATAAATGATGTGTGCTTCCTGTCTGAGGGGTGTAAGAAGACGGAATTCAAGCAGTTGTTTGACACTGTCAGGACGCAAACCAGAATGCCTTCCTCCTTCTTCCCAAATGTCCACATAACACCGAAGTGAAGACAAGACCGTCGTGGGAGGCAAGGTCAACTGCTAGAAATCTGTCACCTTCACATCTTCTTCTTGATATGGTTTAGAATTTTCTTAATGCTGTGCCACCAAGCCAAACAAAACAAAGACGGAAAAGCAACACCGGATGTTACCGCTGATCCAGTGAATACAACAATCGTCTCGAACAGAGGCCAGCAAACTTCTCCTAGAGAGGGCCAAATAGTTAATATTTTGGGCTTTGTGGGACAGACGGTCTCCGTCACAACTACTCAACTCTGCCATTAGAGTGGGACAGCAGCCATAGATAACGCAGAAACAAACGGCATGGCTGTGTTCCAATAAAGTTTTATTTATAAAAATCAGGCGGCAGGCAGGGGGAGGCCCACAGGCAGACCCTCCATCCAGACCCTGGGATTTCAATGCTTTTAGACATCAAAGCAGAGTCATTGCTTTGAGAGTCATTGATAGACTTCTGTAATAAACAGAGGTTAAAAATTTGAACTTAAAGGGCCCAGCCCCATGGCCAAGTGGTCAAAGTTCCACGTGCTCTGGTTCGGCGGCCTGTTTTCACGAGTTCGGACACTGGGTGCAGACCTACTCCACCTGTCAGCCATGCTGTGGTGGTGGCCCACATGCAGAGTGGAGGAGGACTGGCACAGATGTTAGCTCAGGGACAATCTTCCTCACACACACACACACACACACACACACAAAGTTGAACTTAAAAAGCAAATGTGTATTTATAAACTACCACTTTAACCTGTTGTATATATTGGCATTCCATGTAGGATTTGACTTTTAAAAAATGATTTTTAAGACTATAAAAGTTTGAAAACTACTAGCAGAGAGCTTTGCTGCTAAGAAAATGCCTTCATATCCATTTCAAATCAGGTTCACCCTATAGTCACTTATTGAGAAATCGCTTTTATTTTGGAGAGAGCCCCAGTCCTGGTCCCTACTAAAGGGGAGCTACAACTCCACCTCTCCCTGCCCTCAGACAATTCCAAACACAGCCACTCCCAAGCCTCAGATGGTGTCATTGGGACTCCCCAGCACAGTCTGCAATGCCATCCAAGGCTGGCTCACAGCTGGCTCCTGCCTGGCACACCTGCCTGCCTGGGCCTGAGCCCTCCACCTTGTTCGGATTGCAGCCTCTGCGCTGGTGGCTGGGGGAAGCTACGCCAGCAGTGGGCCACGAGCGCCCGGACACTCCAGAAGCACTGAGTCAGCACCTCATTAATCACAGATACTTTTATTCCCCAGGGAGAGCTCGGGAAGGGGCGGGGACGAGAATTCTGCTGGAACTGACAGCTCATTTCCCTCTGGGCCAGCCCCATCCTCTACAGATTCTTCCGGGCAGCTGGAAGAGCCCACATGGACAAAAAGAGAGTTGGGGAGTGAAGGAGGGGAGGACAAACGCCGGGCCTGGGGGGGATTCCCTATCCGCACGTCCATGACAGTTCCCCCAGAGCTTGGCTCGCCTCCCTCAGAGGTTACTATTTCCGGCCCAGTTCAAATATCTACTGCACATCTAGCTGAAGAAATCCAGACCCCGCCCTGAAACTGCCAGTGGAGGAGACCCATAAACGGCCTACCATGACCTGTGCAGAAGGAAACAAATGCTAAATTGAAGCACCAGTGTCCCAGGATGCCAAGGAAGGGGGGCCCATTCATTACGGCGCTGTTGGTTCCTATTACAAAGGAAGAAGGCTCATCCTTGGAGCTGTTACTCCCTTTCTTAGGGACACATCCTGATAGAGAAGAAAGTGTTGGGTCTTTTGTAGCCATAGGCTCTGTCCCTTACTAGCTGAGTGACTGTCTTTAAATTACTGAACCTCTCTGTGCTGTTTCCATACCTTTACACGAGGGGCACTAGAACCAGCCTCACTGGGGTTTCTGCAGGACTGAGCCTCGTCTGTAAAGTCCCAGGCCCCACATGCAGTGTCCATCTCTTTACTGTGCCCTGACTCTTAGGAACTCATACACTGGGACCAGATGGCAGAGCACAGCAGACATGTCATGGCTGCCCCTGGGAGGGCAGAGTGGCGGCCACCTGCCTGCACAGGCCGGAAGGGCTACTCACGTGTGGGGAGCCCCTGCTCTGTGTCCAGGCACACTCTAGGGCCTTGCCTACATCTTCACAGCAGCCCTGGGAGGCAGGTGCCACTACTTTCCATTTCACAAGTGAGAAGGAAGAGGCAGCGAGACTGAGCAACTTGCCTGCTAAGCCAGTAAATGCCGGCGCTGGGATGTGAACACAGGAGGATCCAGGGCCTCCCCTAGGGACACCACCTCAGACATCCCCCCTCAGAACGAGGCTCAAGCGCTCAGGCCTTCTTCCGCAGAGTCCAAGGGGTGAGTCCTCCACCTCCGCTGGGGAACTCTGGCCATGGTCTGGATCCAGGGGGCCCGCATGGTGTGGCTGAGCTATGGGCAGAGGCCCGGGCCCAGCCGCCCCACATTCAGGTGGCTCCAGCGATGCCATGTCTGAGGGCTGCCGAGGCCCCATCCTCCTCTCTGGACGTGAGAAAACCTCCGCTTGGAAGGAAGGGAACGAGGCTCTGTCGCGGCACAGCACACCAGGCTGGGAAGCGACCCGGCACTCACAGCTGAGCCCACGGACCCGACGCAGGACGAGCATCACCAGAGCCCCAGGAAAGAGGTCCGAGCACCTAGGCCTTGGCTGTATCAGAATCAGAATCCAGATTCCTGTGTCCTCGACTCCGGAGAGTCTGATGTCTGAGAGCAAGGGTGTGCGGGAATCTGCCTTTTTTTTTTTTTGACCAGGCACCCTCTCCTCCATCCCCCTGGGTGATTCTCATACACTCCACAGCCAGACAAAAGAGCCAAAGACATATTCCCGACCCAAAGAGCTTCTAACATCACACATCTAACCTGAACAACGAGCTGACCTTCTAACATGAAACCATAACACAGACCTGAAGAGCAACAAAAACCCCTTATATATATATATACACACACATGTCTACCAATGCTGGGCCCCTCCCCAGGACAACTCAGTCAGTACCTCTGGAAGTGGGCCCCCACTAATGGAATTTTTAAAAACTTTCCAGGTGATTCTAATGTGCAGCCAGGTCTGAGAACCACACGTCTTTTCAAGTCTTCACAACAGGGAGGCCCCTAGAGAGACGCCGCCCTGGGGCTCTTCAGGCCAGAGCCTCCTTGTGGGGAGGGCAGAGAGGCGGGTGGAGCTCTGTAAAGCAGGAGGACACAGCGGGGCTGGCGAGTGGGAGGCTGTGGTCCCTTGAGAGGAGTTCCTGCCAGGGAGAGGATGGAAACAGGAACTGGGAGGAGATGACTGCATCTCGGAGGAGATAGCGTGAGGGCAGTGAGAGTGCTGGCACTCAAAGTCTCTAGTCCTGGCCAAGGATGTCCCGAGGACTCCCAGCTTCCACAGAGGCTCAAGGGAGGCACTAATAATGCTACATTTTAAAGAGGAAGAATACTAGCAAGCTCAGGCAAGAAAGACCAAAATGGCGCCCCCAGCAAGCATATATAGTGACAGCCCATTTCTTACCTGTGCTGAAGGCACCACTTTCGATGACCAAAACTAAAACGCTGTTCTCTTTGGAAACCAGCGTTCATGTCCACTCCTGCTGCAGCTGCCCTCTCACGCTCTGCTCTTCCCTATGGAAGGGAGAGCTTGCCTGGCCAGCGTCGCTTGAGGCTTCTCCATGAACTAGGTCGAGGATGCTGGGTTTGCGCCTTGAATCCTGCAGGGGATGGTTGAAAAACACGGTCAAAGAGTGTGGTTGGTCAACCTTTTTAGACACAGAATAATCCCCTCCAGCTCTTCCCAAGATGCTTGTCTGGGTGTGGGGCCAGATCCCCATGTCCCCCTAGGGAGTTGGTGTGGCCTGGTGGCCCTGGCGCCCACCATGTTCTACCTTGCACCTGGCAGCTAACTTCTTTGAGCCTCTATTGACCAGGAAGCAGGCAGAACTCTAAGACGGCCCTCCAGGTTTCCTGCCTCTCTGGTGTACACCTTCTGCATAATCCCCAGGACTGTGGGTACAAAGGATTTTAATCCTATGATTAGGTTACGTTCTAGGGTACAGTTGACCTTAAAATAGGGAGATTATTCTGTGGGCTCGACCTAATCAAGAAAGCCCTTTAAAAGCAGAGTTTTCTCTGGCTGGTCACAGAAGAGGAAGTGATAGAGATTAGAAACAGGAGAAACATTTGACCTGCGCTCGCTGCCTTGCAGCAGGAGAGGCTGTGTGAGAGGACCTGAAGGCAGCCTCCGTGAGTCGAGAACAGCTCCCTCGCTGACAACCAGCAAGAAAACAGGACCTCAGTCCTACAACCATGGGACCTGGGCTCCATTAACAACCTGAATGAACCTGGAAAAGCAGAATTTTCCCCAGAGCCCCAGACGAGAACTCAGCCTCCAGAGACCTTGACTTCAGCCCTGAGCAGAGAATCTGGCCACTCGGTCCCAGACTTCTAACCTATAGAACTGAGAGCTAACAAATGAGTGTCTTTTAAGCCACTAAGATCGAGGCAATTTGTTACACGGCAAAAGAAAACTAATACGACCTGCAAAAGTGACTCATATCCAGGCATGAGTGAGAATTATTACCATAACAGACATCAGAGTACGTAACGTCCCCAAATCACTAAACAAAACAGCATTCAGGTTCAGGCCAGGAGCTCGACAACGATCATGATGAAAGGACCAGTGAGTGAGCATCAGTTTTTAATAATCAAGTCGCCTGGCTGTTGTAAAGTTCAAGTAAGACGATCCAGAGGAAAGTGCTTTATGATCTAGAAAGTCTGGGCTGTCTTAGCCAAGCATGGCATGGTGCGTCACATCCACGCTGCCCTCTTGGGACTAGACTCTGGTTTGTCTGCTGGAGGCAGATGAGATGTGGCTCCTAGGGCCGGGACACCTGGGTTCCAGGCCCGGCCTTCTGCTCATTACCTCTGCGGCTTTGGAAAGTTGCTTAGCCTTGCTGTGCCTGAAAAGGGGGGCTAAGAATGGCAGGGATCTCCCGAGGTTTAATGATCCGGCACATGCTAAGGGTCTTGACCAATGTCTGGCATGTGGTATGGCTCATATAATCACTATGGACATTATGGACGTTATCTCAGAGTGGACCCAGGAATCTAGGTCTGGAGTAACCTGTACACAGGCCAGGGGCATTGTCACCTTCCTTCTCTTGGGCACCATGGTTTTTATTGACATAGCGTTGGAATAGTTAGTGTTTTGGCAATGACATCTCACTGCTGATTCCTACAGAGCAGTACAGGTAAGCGAAGCCCCTCAGCCGTCCCCTCCCTGCCACACCTGCTGCTATTAAACCCAGCCACCCTGCCTGCACTCCAGAGCAGTGTGACTGAATTTGCTCAGTGGCTCCTGCCTAGCATTTCCTGATTCTGTTGTCCAAACCATCCAAACTTTTCACCACTCTGAGGTTTTCCATCATCCCCAGATCTGACCTCACGCCCTCCAGTAGATCTCAATTATTAATAAAAACAGCCCAGTGGCCTAGTGGTTAAGGTCGGCTCGCTTTGCTTCAGTGGCCTGGGTTCGAGGGTTCGGATCTCAGCACGGATATACACACCGCTCATCAGGCCACACTGTGGTGGCGTCCCACATACAAATAGAGGAAGATTGCCACAGACATTAGCTCAGGGCCAATCTTCCTCACCAAAAAAACAAAAACAAGCCAACAAAAAACCCAGCTGTACTCACCGTGCATACGGACTCTGGGAACCTTAAAGTCCTGGTAGACTGTGAGTACCGTGGGCGGGGTCAGTCTGACTCATTCCCTCACCCCTAAAGCTTGGTGTGGTGTCTCACACAGAGTCGGTGTAGAACAATTCTCTTCAGAACCTGATTCAGTTGTTCATTCATTTAACAAATGTGCATTCAGCACTTATTTGGGGTCAGGCCTGCTGTAGGTAGGTGCTGGGACAAAAGACAGCAAAGTTTCAGCCCCTACCTTCTGGGGGATCGCAGTTGGGGGTAGGGGGGAGCAAGGAAGCAAAGGAATGCATTGCAGTGTTGCTGGTTCTAAGTTACTACATGGTGCGGGCATAAAGAAAAGAGTAGTCAATTCTGATGGTGCCTGACATGTGTGAGAGAAGAGGAGGCTATTTCAAACAAAAGGAGCAGTGTCAATAGACAGGAGCTCCCAAACGGGCCGAATGTTCAAGAAATTGCATGCTGTCCATATGGCTGCACGAAAGGGGCAGCGACAGCTCATGAGGGAAGAGTTGGCCAGGGGATGAATTCGGTATATGAAATAGCCCGGACTTGATCTGGCAGCGGAGTCAGGTCACTGAGTCATTTTAATCAGTGAGGTAACACAGTCAGGACGAGGGGTGTGGCTCCAGAGATGACAGGATCCGGTAGAAGGAGTGAGCCACTGCTCTCCCACCCACCAGTGAGGCCAACATCACTGAACGCCACTCCTGCCTCCAGCAGCAGGTGGGAGAGCTGGGCAGACACACCTGCATCTGGGATACCAGGCAGTGGTGCACACAACCGAGGTTCTACACGGCAAACTGAGCCTGTGTTCACCCCCTCTCCCCCAAACACCACTGAAGTCAAAAGAGAAATGTGCAATTAAGAGCCGATCCATAGCAGCACCAGCTGGCCAGCAAGTCTGAGGAAAAGCAGACGAGTGGGAGTGACAGAGAAACTAATCAGAGCTAAGCCGGCCTCACCCAACATGGGCAGGGAGAGGCCCACCTGCCAAACCCTGGAGAAGCTCCCTCGGAGGCCGTGGAGGCGGGCAGGGCAAGCTGCATGGAATTCCTGAAATCCAAGGGTGAGAAGTGGATCCTTCAGGTTTCCAAAGAGACCAGAGTCGGGGGAGAGGGGAACAGAAACCATCTACCTAGACACCTTTGCGTCTTCGTTAGCACTGCTTTCTTCTTCCAGGAGACTCTAACCCCAGCAAAGGGCTTGATGGTTCGTTACAGAAACATCCTGAAGGATCCATCAGCTCTTCAATTAATAGCTGGTGCTCTAAGATTCTTTGAATCTCCTGCCTTGCCTCAAAATTCCTCCTCACTGTTTCCACCACTCCCAGACCCTTGTCGTCCTTACACAATCCTAATGAAGCCCCAGGGCAACATAACCGCCTTAACGGAAACTTCCAGTCCTTAGCAAACTCTGACCTTGCCTCCCTCCTCCGGACATGCCAAGGCTCCGTGGAGGTGACATTCCCCTTTACCCAGGTGAGCAATACACTCAGCTTTGTCTCTGATGGTCTCCACAAAAATTTTGAGAATCAAATTGACATTGGACTTGACATCCGCGTCATTAACTGCTAGAGGGCAACAGAGCGAAGACCACAGAGCTCTGAGGAAGAAGGCTTACACCCCTGAGATCCGTTACTCAGCCGAGTCTCAAAGTCAAAGAGAGAAGCACTAAAAATAGCAGGCCGCCCACTTATCTCTTAAAGGAGTTACTCAAGGAATCACTCCAACAAAATAAAAACTGTATCAGAATAAGTAATTCAAGAAAGGGCAAGACAGGAGGCACAGGAAACAATGATGAACAAGAGTAGAAAAACGTACACTCAAGTCTAAACGAACTTTGATAATAATGGTCTCCTCTTGTTGGGAATTAAATACCATTTAGTTCTTGATGTTAATGGAGAAGTATGGGTGTTTATTTTTTATTTAAGGGTAACCATTTCTAGAAGGAAAATAACATACAGACCTTTTAAACCACTGTGTGTGGGGCAGAGGGGCAGAGCCAAGAACATTCAATTAATTCGGGCAAGAGTTAGGAAAAGGAAACTAAACAGGAAAGAAAAAAGTATCATAAACAAAAGAGGTAAAATAAGAAGAGAAGAGTAAGACCAAACACGTCAATAAATACAAGAATGTGAATAAATTCAATTATTCTATTTTCAGACAAGAGATTAGGCTGGGTTTAAAAAAAAAAACAAAAACCAGCCATATGCTGTTTGGAAGCGACACATTTAAAACAAATTAACAAAAAGAAATGTTGAAATCAAAGAAGTGGTAAAAAGCTATACCAAGCAAAATGGTGACCAAAAGAATGCAGGAAAGTCAATATTAATATCAGACAAAAATGAAAAAATGTTAAATAGAATAAAATGGGGCATTTTACATTGCTAACAGGTCTATTTCTCTAAGAAGACACAAAAATCACAAATCTTTACCTTCACCCTGAACAAGAGAACCGTAAAGTCTATAAACTAATACATTCTTAGAACCACGAGATGGCAAGAAAAAAAAAAAAGAACAGTAAACATCTTGGGCATATCACTCAAAATTTGATAATACAAGTAACCTCCAAAGAAAACTATGAGAGGATTTGAAGATAGTTAGTAAGCTTAACTTCATATATACTCAAAAAACAGTGAAAACACCTTTTTCTCAAATGCCCTTGCACTAGACCACAAGAAAAATCTCCATTGCCAACGTGTATACCGCAGCAACAGAATTAGAAATTAACAAGTAGCAAAAAATAAAAAAGTAAACTAGGCACATGACAATCTAAAAATGCTTTTCTGAACAACTTTTGAGTCAGAGGGCAGAAAAACTGAAATTGTAGAGTATTTCTAAAGGTACACCATCGAGAACCCTCCTTTTAAAAATCTGTGGAATGTAACTGAGGCTGCATTTAGAGGAAAATTCAAACTTACATGCTTTCATGATAAAATGAGAAAGATTAAAACTAAATGAATTGTCTAACCCGAGAAGCTGAAAAAGAATAAAATGAACC